ATTATTTATAAATAGTAATGGTTTCCCAAATGTTAGTACATAATATAATTATCTTTTTACTCTCTCTACAAACTTTCTATTAAAGTCATTTCTTTACGAACAAATATAATATGTAATATATATTAGGTTATTCATAAGGTAATTTCATTTTTTCAATGATAAATAAAAAGACAATTTTTTCATATCTAGAATCAAAGGTCTTTTAAATGATCACGTTCAGTTGAATTTGCATAATTCAACTTCTCTCAGCTATTTCTCATATTATTATTTAACAATTAGCATTATTTTGCCGTTATCTCCTTAAACCGGTCGACTAAAATGTGGCGTATCTTTCATACCGAAATTATTAGAATAAAATTTCGAAAAAGCAATTTTGACACATTGGTGTTTACTAAACATAAATAACACACATCATTTTGTTTTTCCGTTGTATCGCATTCTCTTACGGTAATTAAAAAAAAACAATAAAAGACGCAAATGCTTGCTTTGATTTTCCATTACTGATGCATTGTCAAAAAATAAAACTACTTGACGTATCGAAACAGAAAAAAGATACAAATCACTTTCATACGTGATATTTCATAATATTATATTTCATAATATCTGTTGATAGAATGCAAAATGATTTTGTGGTTTGAAATAAGATTGGGTATCGGTAAACGCGATTAATGAAATTTCTTATACGATAAATAAAATTACTTACCGAATAACCCAACTTATATCCAATTCATACATTAAGTTCATAAATTATTCAACGGTCGGCCAATTCATGTTGGATTATTAGTTCCCGTCAAATCACTGAAGTCAAGCAACGTGGGCACGGTTAATAAAAAATGGACGAGCAACTCGTTCGGGAAAAATAAAAATCGTGTTTTTTTGACTGTAAAGAGGCATTAAAAAGACACAACTTCTTTGGTAGTATTGGATAGGTGTGAGAAGGTTTTCGTAGATATGTGACTCACGAATCCATAAAAAAACAAGAAGATTACTTTATAAATAAATGCTAAATGTTTTAAAGAGACACCGCGAATTAATTTAATTAAAGTTTTAATTATTAATTTGATTAATTAATATTAATCGTAAAATGATAAGACGAATGGAAGGAATTCTCTAGCTAGGATGTATAATATATATATATATATATATACATAGACTATAGTATAGTAATATTGACTTTGACATGAAACTAGTGTTAAGTAGTGAATGCAGGACGAGGACACTAAGTCGATATGTTGGCGAGTCGTTGAAGCGGAAACCAGGAAGTAAGGAGCTACGAGGACGCTAAGTTTTTATGATACTTTATTGCTCATACCAATAATTATGGGCAAAAGTAATCGAACGATCGAGAGAAAGACTTTTTCATAGAGATCGGGGACGAAAAGAAATGATTAGAACGAGTTATCGTACGAAGAACGAAAAAAAAAACATTCTCTGACTTATATTTATTTCTATGAATACTAGTTCTCGTGACTCATTTAAATGATTGATTTTAATGATAATCAAACGAGAAACTTTCGATTATTTATCGACGCAATTGACAATATTTATTTACTCGATATCGAACGTACCGATTCATATTTTTTATTTACTTTTATGCTAATCGACTGGTTTCATTTGTGATAAATATTTCATTTTGGATATAACAGGAATTTTTATTAATGAATAAGATAATAAATATATGTATATATATATATTTTTTTTTTCTAATAAATATTTTTATGACAAACATTATTTTAATAATATATCATAAGAAATAGTTTTTTTTTCTTGAAGGTTAGTTACTCATAAATTTGATCAATATTTGTAAACTAAACAAAAATATTGCATTACAATTGTATATTGTGTGTGTGTATATTGTATATTGTATATATAAAAAGTATTATTTATAACAAACAATACATAAGCTAGAAAGTCTCAATAAGTATAGCGAAAAAGTTGATTTTCTTAAGTTAATCTGAGAAATAAAGCAAATAAAAAGTAATGAAGAAATCTAAAAGAATGGATCCTCTTCAAAATGGCGGTTCCATTCGATCGGACGCTACGCTTCAATGAGAAACTCTATTGATCAGTACGAGTTTGGCGTCTAAATCTTCCTTTTTCATTCTTTTTCTTTTTCGTCTTCTTCTTCTTATTCTTTCTTATTCCCCTCTTTTTCTTCTTTATCTTGCAGGTTCTACCACGATGCTATAAATACCTGTAGAAGCCACGTGATCCACGTACCAATGTCTTTCTCTGTTCATACCTTTCTTCTCCCTATCTCTCTCTCTCTCTCTCTCTCTCTCTCTCTTTCTCTTTCTTTTTCTCTTTCTTTCTCACTTTTCGTCTCAGTCAGTCAAAAAGAAAGAGAAGAAATAAGGCAACCGAAGAGAAGAATATAAGAGAGTTAGAGAACGTTAAAAGGAAACCGGTACTCTGAGGGCCCCGACAACCAAAGACGCACGTTCGGGAACAGGATTGCTCTCCAGCAAGACACTAAGGACCGATAAATGGCCGATAGAGAAATTAAATCGGCCAGAAAGTCTAATATTATTTTATTTTACACCTTTAACGACATTATTTTATTCTTTAAACTAATCAAGAATCAAGGTATACGATAAATTAGGATTAGTTGTTATTATTTCAAATGAACAATATCGAAATACCAATTGTAGCAACAATTTGAACCCTTACGATCGAGAATATGATTGATGATGTACAATAAAACAACGAATACCAATTAAAAAACAAATAATATAATTGGTTAGGAAGTAGAATAGAATTTTTGTATACTAATTATTATTAAAAAAAAAAAAAAAAGAAGATTATTCAAATAGAAGGAATAATAATTAAATCGTATGAGAAAGATCCTAGTCTCGTTTGAACATTTTATTTCTTACATTTTGCGTTTTATTTTCTGCTGTATAAACATAGATCAAATTTAGATGATTTAATAATCGGAATTTGAATGTGCTAGATGTTAGTGAAAGAACTTCAAAAGTATATTGACCGGCCACTTCATGTCAAACTACTTCTTTGTGGTTGGCTCTCCGTTCGATCGAATGAAACGCCTCAGTTTAGTCGTCGACCTACTTCCAAAGTCGACCACTCCCTCGAGTCCTTTTTCCAAGTTTTTGCTTTCCTTTCGGCTACCCACAGCCATAACCCTTCACTATGTATCCTACAGTCTGTGGGTTTATCACAATTACATGGATGGTGTGTTCTATCTTATGTGTATGCATTCATTTAATATGCATAGGAACAATGCACCGATCCTTCAACATGTAGATAAAGATCGTTCATCGACACGTCGGTCATCGTAAACCTCATATCGATGATCAGGATTGTTTAATGAATTTATTCTCTTGCGAGTTACATTCCGTGTATTCTAAGAAGTAAGTAATACTTTTAGAGAATATTCAGTTATGTCGGATACCATCAGTTAAAATTTTTGTAAAGAACAATACTCATAACATGCATTGAATATAATCGAGTATAAATACTTTGATTATTTAGAAAATAATTTTAATGACGCCCACCAAAATGGCTGAATCATATTAAACAATTATTTAAGAGTTTTTAAAAACTTTTTTTTAAATGTTTATATCGTATACATATATGAATAATAGAAATATTTTTAAAAGACAAACTAAGCACGGTAAAAGTTCAAATATTTCGTTCTCCAAAATGGCTACCCAAAAACTTATGGACAAATTGAAAACTTTTGAGCTTAAAATAGAAACATTATTTGTCGATCGAACTTCCATTTACACTTTGTCATAATTATTTTAACCATAATTTCAAAACTTTTCAATCAACCCTCGTATACCATATACCATATTAGTTGCTCGACGTAGTCTCCATTTTACCCTGGTTATCAAAATGGCGGTTATAAAATGGCGGACGATTTATTTACAATTCAAAAACAAGAGTTATAATATAATTTAATAAGAAGTCACCGAATTAATTGCTACACCTAAGATTATAAAATCAATAAAATGAAGTATAAATCACGTATGTATTTACGAATACTAAATAAAAAGATATTTTTCCTGGTCTATTCGCATTGCAAGGAGAGTTGCACACAACTTAAGATACGTTGCGTTGCGTTGCGTTGTTGCGTATCTGCATAGCGTTTGCCTAGCGGTACCGTGCGTGGGTCGAAGCGCGTCGTGTCGTCCTGGTGCAAGGTGACACCGCATACGCAGCCACTTAGTTGGCTTACGTAATGGCCGCGTACGGGACAACGCCATTTCCCCCTACCCCCTACCCCCTCTCCACCACCTCTTTTTCTTTCTTTCTTCCTCTTTCAGGTCTCTCTCTTCTCTTCAATATCTGCATTTAACGTTTCCACATGAATCCTTTCTATCGGTGGAAGATCGTACCCGACTACGTGGACATGTAACCTTGGCATTCG